TCTGTCTGTCTGTCTGTCTCTCTCTCTCTCTCTCTCTCTCTCTCTCTCTCACACACACACACACACACACACACACACACACACACACACACACTCTGAATATGGGCAGCACTATTTCATAGGCTGGGGTGTCTCATTGAATAAACAAGAGAAAAAGTAGAACGTCAGCTAAGTACAAGCATCCCCTTTTTCTCTGTCTCCCAATCTGTGCAGATGGAAGCGAGGAGCTTCCTGTTGCCATAATTTCCCTGCCATGAAGGACTAGATTCCCTGAACCATCAGATGAAATAAATCCTTGTTCTCCTAAGTTTCCCTGTTAGATATTTTGCCATAGCAATGAGGGGAGTAGCTGATAAGATTTAGCATAACAATTTTTCTTAAGCAGTCTCTACGCTTCTCGTTTATGTCTATCATTTACTTCTTTTTTTTTTTTTGAGCTGAGGACCGAACCCAGGGCCTTGCGCTTGCTAGGCAAGCGCTCTATCACTGAGCTAAATCCCCAACCCTATCATTTACTTCTTGCCAGCATCCAGATGGACCATTTTAAAGCATGAATGAAATCACGTTATGTCAAGTTCTACCAAGACTCCTCACATCACTCACAAGTCCTGACAACAGCAGACCAGAGCCTAGCTCACGTCCTGGCCTCTTCTGCAGTTCTTCCACGACTCGTGCTACTCAGCCTCGCCGGCTCCCTGGCTGCTCTGTGATCCGGCAGGGCGCTCCTACCCCAGGTCCTTCGGACCCAGCACTCCAGCTCCTTCCCCAGAAACCATCCATCTTTGCTCCTCCCCTCCCAAGCCAGGCCCTGTGACATCTGCACTCAGCCTCTAATCTCCTCAACCCTATTCTCCTGATCTGGCATCTTCCTTCCTTGCTCATGACCGGCAGAGGGGCTCCATCCACTCAGGTACCCAGGCGCCTTCCATCAAGGGCTCGCTCTTGCCTCACCTAGGCCCTTTGGAGACATTTCCCTTAGGCCAGTGGGCGTCAGCAGGAGAGGATAAAGACAATGACGATGAGGTGGCAGACATGCTTAAACTGCCTGGCCTGAGAGGTAATAATATTCACTGGAGAAGACCGGCCACGTGGGCCCGATTAGTGAGTTACATAATGAGCTGCATGCCTGGGTAGAAAGGAAAATGGTTTAGTGAGCGCCGTGGTCACCGAGTGTCTCAACACCGTCAACCCCTCCCATGGCAGACACAGGAAGAAGGTCTGCCCTGCATTTAGTGCATCTCAGGCGGTGTGTGTGGTGCAGCCTTCCTCAGGGCCGTATGCAACTCCTAGTAATGCTTCCACTGACCTGAAAGGGGGTTACCTGCACCCTCCCCAACTCCCAAGATACACTGGGGGACAGAAGCAGGCCTGTGTGCTTGGTCTTTTTCTTTCTTCCCAGCTTTGGTTTCTCTGTTTTGACAAGGTGTCGTGTAGACCAGACTGGCCTCAAACTCACTATTCTACCTCCCCGGTGCTGGGATTAGAACTTTGCACCACCACACTTGGCTGTAAGTCTCGTCTTACCCAATATCCCCCGTGGCCAAGTGTGCTGCGGCATGCCCTCTTTTCAGGATACACAACCTTCGTAACGTACTCATCCCTGCCCCTCACTGGCATTCGAGCAAGTTCTGGGTTTCCTGAAGTGATTGTCTAGCTCCAACAATAGAAGGTCTTGTCAGTCCAGGCTCATGGATTCTTTGCCAACACGACTCCCCAGGAACACAGTGGTCCTTTGATCTACTTCTTCCCCGTCGGTGCTGTGTGCCAGAAACAACAGTTCTTTCCCGGGCTTCACTCTCAAGCCTGACTCATTTTTCACATGTCTTTCACTCTCGGCTAACAGGAGCCACCCAGAAGCCACACGAAACAAGGTCCTGACTTTGTACGACGGAATCACTTAGGGAACCTGGAGAACTGTCTTCATGCAGATATCATGGACCTCAACCCTACCAACAGAAGCTCTACAGATGGCCCTTAGTCTCGTCCTTCCACCTGAGTATGTCCACTAGGCTTTGTAAATGTACTTTCAAGTACCTCTAATGACAGATTTACCAATTTGGTTACGGCTGTATCACATGATTTGTCTTTCTACGCCATCATCTGATTTATCTGCTCATTGGTATACTCCTGTATGTCAGGCCCACACCATACACTTTTAATTTTTACTAATGGTCCACTCCTAGTACTAAGTACTATGGGGGAAACAAAAATTTTAATTATTTAAAACAAGGGGTTTTCTGTTTGTTTTGGTGTGTGTGTGTGTGTGTGTGTGTGTGTGTGTGTGTGTGTGTGTGTGTGTTGGAAAATGAACCCACTTGTAAATACCAGGCAAGTTCTCCACCACTGAACTGTATCCCCAGCCATTTTAAATTTCATTTTGAGGCAGGCTCTTGCTAAGTTACTCAAGGTAGCCTTGACCCTTCAATCCTCCTGTTTTAGCCTCAACAGCTATGGGAACACAGTTCTTAGCATGACCCCATCTCAAGCAAATGGGTCAGCATATGCTCCTCTCTACCCACCATTCATGATAGGTCCAGTTTCTTTTTATTTCACAGTTTAACTCTCCTCTGAAGTGAGGAAGCGGAGGGCGGAGAAGACACTGTCATCAACTGTCCCGGGGAAAGACACGCATCTGTTCACAGTCCACCCATATAAAGCTGGAGAAGGAGGTGTGGGACGCAGTCTGGATGCCCAGCAGGAATAGAAAAATGGAGACATGAGCAAGCCGAGCCATTGCTTTCATATTCTAAAACGTTTTCAAGAGGGCAGCGACCTTTGACTGGTTTGTTCACAGCTGTCCCTGTGCTGACTGCATACGTGAGCACTCGAAAATACCCTTTGAATGAACAAATGATGCGTGGACAGGAGGAGTATCGAGTATAGTACCATACAGGACGGTTTTGGGGAATAAAAGCAAACTAAACACACTGAGGTCTGAAATACTGAATTGCTACTCCTTTACTTAGATGAAACATTAAATACGGGCTTTGGGACAATAAAAATAATCTTACAAATACCGAAACATACATCTATCAAATCTACAGTGTCAGTTCTTCAACAAACCCGTCAAACAAACTAAAATCTGCTGCTGCAAACATAGACACATTCGTTTCAAATACTGGTACAGACACAGTGGAAAACATTCAAAGAACCCACCATTAAACTGGTAACAGTGGCTGGGACATGGCTCAGTAGGAGAGCACTTGCCTTGCATGTAGGTTCAATCCCATTTCACCAAAAAAATAACTATGTATCTTTTTGTTAAACAGAAATTCCTGTATCCAGCCTCAAAATGAACCCCTATCCTCCTCAAAGGGCCAGGTTACTACTGTACATACTCTCAATTTTGAGAACAAGTTACATATAGACACATACACTAACTGCCAGTACAGATGTACCCCTCTAAGTACATGCAAGCCATCAAAATTCAGAACTGACCTATTTACGGTGTCAGACTCAAAATTATGTAAGCTAATAACACTAGAGTTTTGGAAATCTTAAATTACTATAAAAAAAGGAATTGATAAGGCAGAAAAAAATACAGAAAAGATGAAATAAAAATGAGAAATATTTAGAAAGAAAATCTTCACAGTATTGCCAGGATCAAATACATAAGAATTCACTTATGGATTCTGCACCTGCTTATTTATTTGTTTGGTAGAGAATAAGATCTTAACACAGGCTGGCCTGAATTCATGGTAATCCTCCTGCCTCAGCTGCCCAAGTACTGGTATTACAGGCATAAATTCACCATGACTGGCTTTTACTTTTCTGTATGTATGCTATAACTCAAAGAAAAAAATTTCAAGAGTATATGAAAAGTTCATTTGCAAACCATAAAGCAGTTTCAGTTACTGGTCTTTTTTTTAAAGATTTTAAAGTGCTCTGCCTGTATGCCAGAAGAGGGCATCAGATCTCATTACAGATGGTTGTGAGCCACCATGTGGTTGCTGGGAATTGAACCCAGGACCTCTGCAAGAACAGCCAGTGTCCTTAACCACTGAGCCATCTCTCCAGCCCCCAGTTACTGATCTTTAAATAAATGCAAAATCCTTACTTTTGAAAAGGTTATAGACTGGGTCAACGAGCAGGTTCAAACTGAGGGAGTAAGAAGCCCCTTGCTCTCCACACCCCAGCATTCAGAATGAGATTCTCACCAGAAGCATTGCCAGCAGACCAAATCACCATGAAAAGTGACTGAGCAGAACCTGTCTCGGTTCAGACAGGACTCTAAAACCAAAAACTACACAAGACACGGTGACCAACAATTAGCACGGTGGGCTATAGGGCTTTACCCAGGGAAAGGGAAAAAATGGCAGTCAAGTTATCTTTAGGTAAGAGTAACTTTTTGGCTGTGAGCCTAGCCTTTAACGGCTGAGCTATCCCTCCAGCCTGTAATAATAATTTTTTAAAAAATTACTGGAAGGGTTTCCACTTTAAAAAAAAAATGACCTTAAACCAAAACACAGTACAGGAATGCAAACTAGACAATTGGATGTTCAGCAAACAAGGTTTTGTTTCATACAGCCAAGTCTGCACCGGGGTTGATGCTCAGTGTTTCCTTTCCTTTTCCCTTCTTTCCTGGTGTTGGCTTATTTCATTTTTCTTGGTTGAATTCTAGGAAAAATAAAGGGGTGAGGAAGCCCAGTTGTTAAGGCCTTTTAAGACCTGCAGACCAGTAGGTACTGGGGTGAGACTCTACGTCTAGAACCATACTTCTGGCCCTGCCTGGTCTTCTACCATTTAGCAAAGCAAGCAGCCAACAAAAACTAGAAATAGCCGGGCGGTGGTGGTGCACACCCTTAATCCCAGCACACGGGAGGCAGAGGCAGGTGGATCTCTGTGAGTTCGAGGCCAGCCTGGGTTTCAGAGTGAGTTCCAGGAAAGGCTCCAAGGCTACACAGAGAAACCCTGTCTCGAAAAACAAAAAAAACAAAACAAAAAAAGGAAAACTAGAAATAAATCATAAGATGTGAGGAAAATACTTGAGATTCATATTACATGATTTATGAACACCTCAGCAAGAGCAGATATCAATTTCAATCCAAATGTTGGGTTTGGTTTGTTTTATTTTATTTTATTTGTTTTGTTTCAAGACAGGATCTCACCATGTAGAAAGCATGATGTGGAGCTGGAGAGATGGCTTAGCGGTTAAGAGCAGATTGCTTTTCCAGAGGACCTGGGTTTAATTCCCAGCGGCCACATGGTAGCTCACAACTGTCTGTAACTCCAGTTCCAGAGGACTCTCACACAGACATACACACAGGCAAAACACCAATGCACATAAAATAAAAAAATTATTAAAAGGAAGGAGGGAAGGAAGGAAGGAAGGAAGGAAGGAAGGAAGGAAGGAAGGAAGGAAGGAAGGAAGGAAGGAAGGAAGGATGATGTAACTCACAGAGACCTATCTGCTTCTGCCCCCTCAGTCCTGGGATTAAGGTGTACACCACTGTGCTTGTCTATCACCCAAGGACTATTGACAAGCTCCTTTTGAAGGTAAGACTAGCAATGCAGTAACGATTATAAATTACAGTCTTTCTCCAACCTAAAGATACACAAATGTAACTCCTGTACTACATGACACTTTTTATGCAGCATATGAACACACCAACCTGTGAAGAAAACTGGCTTGAAGAAAGGGCTTTAAACCCAACCTAAGGCTAAGGGGATAAGCGCCAGGGAGATCTCCTCTGTACTATTTTTCCAATCAGAAGACATCCACCTTTTAACTTTGCAAAGGACCATTTTAAACGCAGTTAACACTTGTACCTCCCAGAACATTTTAAAAATCTGCTTTTAAAAACACAGCCGCAACCCCAGCATCCAAGCTGACATTAAGATTTCTCGACACCACCTCCCTATCGGGCAGGGCACCTGCAGGACCAAGTACTGTGTGCGACACACGAGCCAAGCAAAGAGTGGAGACAGAGCAGTTAGTTACCCAAGAGGAATGCTCCTTCATCTGGTGCTGGTTGCTGTGGGTGCCGTTGGCATGGCCACGCCAAAAGCAGTTCTGGCAGAGCTGGTAGTTGTGGCACTGCTGGCATCGGTACCGGAATCCCATCATGCTCTCGCAGTGGCAGTAGGAGCACTCCACGGGATGGAAGACTGGCGACCAGAAAGAAGAGGTGAGCGGGGGACCGAACAGCATCAACGGAACACCAGAACCAACCCTGAGGAAAACCAAAAGTCTAATGGAACAGCCGAGGTGGAAACAGGCAGGACCAAGAGCTCGAAACCGTCTGACCCCCGATGTTACGGTTGCAAGAAATAATGGAAGCGCCAGCCACAGTGTGAGCTCAGAAGTGAAGCCATCACCTGGCGCAGCCCCAACCTCAGCACGGTCAACGTTCGTGAAAGTTTCGGGGTTAATGTTAAATGCCGCAGTATAGTCACATAAGTCATCAAATGGACTCTGGCAATTTTGGCCGAACATGTGTGACTTTCTTCCACTCTTCTGAGCATATTAAGAGCCAGTGCTCACACAGCGGGGGGAGGGGCAGTGAGAGCCAGTGCAGGCAGATCAACAAGTGAGCAGGTCTGTCACCAACGGCTGTTCAGAGACTGTGGAAAGTGTCGCCTTTGTTAAGCGCAACACAGACCAGGTGCCTTCCTCTGTGTGCACATCTGGATTTATAAACCAACATGAAAACTATAACTTCAGCTTAAACAAATAAAAATATGTCCCCTTTTTTTTGTTTGGCTTGGTTTTTTGTTTCTTAAATTGGTCCTGATGTTTTCCTGGCTGGCTATGAACACAATATACAGCCAATGATGACAGCCAATTTCTGACACTCTTGTGTCCTCCTCCCAAGTACCAGGATTACAGGTATGTAGCACCATACCTGGCGTAGTATTTGTCCTTTTAAATAGTAATTCCAACACCCAGGAAGAACCCAAACCAAACAAGATCCCCCCATCAAAACCAGGTGTATCATAATTTTAGGATTTGTTTGCCACCATAATAAGTAGATATATAGACAAATGTCAATGTGGTAGACAAACGATTTCTAGACATTTCAAAGATTCCATAACATTTCTGTCTCTAAGAAGAAATATTATTAATCATATAAGAATATGATCAATAAATAACACAAATCATATAAAGTGATAGTACGACACTCCTATGATTAGCACATCGTGACAAGTGAGGCTCTCTCCTCCTCATAGTAGATACAAGATAGTTTATGAAAATCAACTGGATATGAAACTACTAAAACACTTAAAATATAAAAGTATCGCTCTCAAAAAGGAAAACCAAGTACAGCTCAGCAATTTAAATACTTATGCATCTATTTAGAAAATCTTATTTAAAAATTTAGCTGCTTTAAGAGTCTAGTCCTTTAGAAAAATAATCCAGAAACTGAGATGCTTGTGAAGTATCCAGACTTGAGCAAAAGGTTGTATAGACATTCAAAACAAGAAAAAAGCTGGATAGAAAAATAAAAAGCATGTGAGAAAAATGAGAAGGAGGACCCTGCTTTTCAGCAGCCTCTCAGTTCTGCCTCGGTGCCTCCTGTGGAATCCAGGAAGACGGACAACAGCCTGGAGAGAAGGGGGGCTGCGTGGGAAAGCGACAGCCTCCCCCTTGAACACAGTCCCACAACCTAAACACGGACATGAACAGCAGAAAACACTAAGGGGTTCTGAGAAGTCAGCATCGGTTCAATTCAAAGTGAAAACATCTACTTTCCTGGGATGCTTCACAGCACTGGGAAGGATCTCGAGGGCACCTTAGAGGCAAGATGGTAAAGAAGGGCCTGGGGAGGTTGCTCAGGGAGTAAGGTGCCTGCCCCACAAGCATAAGCACCTGAGTTCGGATCCCAGCACCTGCAGAAAAGCTGGGTGTGGTCAGACAAGTCTGGAACCCTGGCATGGTGGGAGGGCCATGGAGAAAGGCGGTTCTCAGGAGTGTGATGGGCAGCCAATCCAGCCAGCTGGTAAGTTCTGGGTTCACTGAGCATCTGTCTCAAAAGATAATGAAAGACACCCAACGTCCTCCGCATGCACACATACTAAGTGCACACGCATAGACTACACACGAACCAATAAACTAATTAATTAATCAATTAACAATAAAGGGAAAAAGAAGGAAGACAGGAGGCCCAGAACTTAATTTTGACTTAGCAATGTTTTAATGACTCAGAATCAACGAGAGTTTTTTGGTGGTTAATATTTCAGGGCTCCAATTTTCTAAAGCTACATTCCTGATAAATTAAAAAGGGGAGAAGGGTTGAAATTCCTGACCACATCGGGTAAACGCAAGCAATCTCAGGGTGAAAAAAACCATGTCCATACCAAGTGGGTTTTATTATCTCTCGGAATCCTAGGTAAGTGACAAGACTCCTGCTCTTGTGAGGAAATAAATTTCTTCTTCTGAAAACAAAAGGCACAACTTCCAATGGTGGCCTGCCAGCAGTTCCTGTTTCTCACAATAACAGCTCAGGACACTGCCCACAGTGTCCTCCTCCCTGCAGCCTACGGGATGAAGGGTCAAGCCACACTCACCGTTCTCCACATGGGCAAGCCTGTGCATGAGAGGTAGCCAGACAAGGCACTGGGGGGGAGGGTCGGCCATCATGGTGTCTAAAAACATATTCAGCATTATCTTCTTCTGTGAAGAGAGGAAAAACAAATACACATTATATCTTGCCAGCGTCTTGAAACTTCTAGATTCATTTCATATTGCCCCAACCAAGCAGGAATGAACTGCATGTAAAATTTTACAACAAAACATTATTTTACATTATCACACTCACGACTACACACATTGACACATTTTAATACACACACACCACTTCTATTGAAAATGCATCTCTACAGGCGTGTCTCTGAGAACAGCTGTTAAGTGTTTTTTTTTTTTAAAGATTTATTTATTTATTATGTATACAAGCAAGTGTTCTGCTTGCATGTATCCCTGCAGGCCAGAAGAGGGTGCCAGATCTCATTACAGATGGTTCTGAGCCACCATGTGGTTGCTGGGAATTGAACTTGGGACCTCTGGAAGGGCAGTCAGTGCTCTTAACCACTGAGCCATCTCTCCAGCCCCTGTTAAGTGTCTTGACCTCCTCCTCTGACGGGTAAGGAACAGGAGTAAAGCATTTAAGTGGCTGGTCACATCCAATCCAAACCAGACACAGAGCCGGAGCCCAGTGTTCTTCCAATCACCATTTCTGCTGTCCTGTGAGGAAGACAGACATCACACTCCTGCTAACAAAACGTCTACGACAACAGCAAGGGAGGATGCCTGGTTAGGAGCCATGTTTCCAGCATCCTCAACAGTGGCACACGGTTGGCATTTAACAGATAACTGTCGAGTAGCTGGACAGATGGCTTCACATACATACAGGCAGAACACCCGTACACATCAACTAATAAAAATAAATTTAAAATAAATAACAAGTAATGACTGAAATAAACAAGCAAGCAAGGTAAGACACATACACCTGCATTCCTCCCGATAGATCCCTATAGACTGTATCTGTCTCTCAACAGACAGCTGCTACTAGGTGGAACACTGATACTATTATGATCCACAGAGACAGCTAGAAGATTGTCTAGAGGCAAGGTAGAAGTACAGCTATGTGACTCAGACAGAACAAATGTGAAGCAGTTTTTCCAATTAATACACTTTCTTTTTCTTTCTTCTAAGCCACAAAGTACCTTTCCAGCTCTAAAGGGAGAGGAAAGGGAACGCAGTGTCGCGCCACTCAGTCGGAAGCCCGCAGTGACCGCACACATTTGCAGGGCCCACAGCAGACAGACAGTACTCAGAGGAAGAGCAGGAAGCCAGGAAAGGCGACAACACCTGTAGTTCCAGCAGCTGAGGCAGGAGGATCACAAGTTGCGTGTCAACGTGAGCCACAAGATGAGATCCTGTCTCAAACAGGACAAGGGCCAGGGAGAGGGCTCCTCAGGGAAAGGTGCCTGTCAGGCAAGCCTGGGGACCTGAGTTTGCTCTCAGGACTCACGTAAAGGGAAAAGAGAGAACCGAGTCCACAGAGCTGGCTGGCCTTTGACCTCTGCATGAATGCCATGGCCTGAGCAAGCATGCAGGCCTATGCATACACAACCAGACAGACACACAGACATGCAGACACACTCACACACAGACACACACACAGAGACACACACAGACAGACACACACAGATACACAGACACACACACACACAGATTCTTTTTTTTAAAGAACAGAGACAAAGGGCAGCACACAGAAGCTGTATGACCCCGAAGGAGACATTTCTGTGCCTTGGTCCAGCCTTGTGAAGATGGGGTAGAGACTGGAGGTATAGCTAGGTGATAGAGCACTTGCCTAGTATGTGTAAGGTCCTGAGTTTGATCTCCAGTACCGGATGGGGGGTGGGGGGGTGGTATACTGCACATGAAGACAGGGTATAGGAGTCGGTAGGGCAAAGCAAAACAACGACACTCAGCATTTCATCCCATTTTCTCCCAAGCAAAAAGTGATGACACCAGGGAGCTTCGGGCAGAAGAGGCAAGGACTGTCCTCTATGGTATCCGCCCACAATACTCCTGTCATACCAAATACAAAAACACACATTCACTCCTGGGTCTTTGCCAACTGTGAACATCTTGACTCCAGACTACATTTAACTGGAAGTCACTCTGACTGAGGATATCTCTGAAGAAGAAACTAGAACGTAAACAGAAAAGGAAGATAAAGTAGAGGCTGAGAGGGAGAGAAAAGCTGTAGTAAGGACCTAGGAAAAGTGGTTTGCATTGACGGGAAAACAGGCCTAAGCATCAAGGTGGGAGGAAAAAGCAGAGGTGAGCCGGGGTATCATTCCTACAGTGTAGTGGGTAGCCATTCCAGCTTGGATCTGGAAGTTCCAACCCCCATTGAGACTCTGACAACTGTCACACTTACGAGGCGGGGCCAAGGGAGGCGTCTGGAGACCCGAGACCTGGATGGGGGGGCGCTCTTTCTGTTCCTGGATCCTAGACGGTGGAGGTTGACTGAGCAGAGCTCCAGAGAACACTGCTGGACTGCGATACACCTTCCCCAGACCCCCGCAATCTACCTATCACTTAATTTGTGAGTTACGCCATTAAATAAATATCCTTTTAACTACATGGAGTGGCCATAATAATTTCACCAATACTACAGCCTCTCCACACCCCTGCACACTGCTGGCCAGTAAGGAGAGAAGTCTGCTCAGAAACTCCATGACAATGTTATCCAATGCACACTGTCTCTTTAAGGCACTCAACTTCCTGCTGTTTCTGAGACCCAGGTAGCATCTGGGAGGAATGAGCAGACAACATTGAAAGGCAGAAAGCCCCGCCCCCTTCAATGTGGCTGGGGGGCCAGATAGAGAAAGTACCTCTACAGTGGATGTGCAGATGAAAACAACAACTAAAATTAAGCCCAAAGCATGTTTCAGATAACTGTGGGCAGTTACTGTGATGCATGTCTGCAATCCCAGTCTCAGGGAGTTCATGGCCAGCCTGGTCTATCTAGAAAGACCCTGTCAAGCTGGGCAGTGGTGGCGCACACCTTTAATCCCAGCACTTGGGAGGCAGAGACAGGCGTACCTCTCTGAGTTCAAGGCCAGCCTGGTCTACAAAGTGAGTCCCAGGACAGGTACCAAAACTAGAGAAACCCTGTCTCGAGAAAAGAAAGAGAGAGAGAGAGAGAGAGAGAGAGAGAGAGAGAGA